CTTTGACCTTTGCCTTTGTCTTTGACTTTGCTTTTGCCTTTGTCTTTGACTTTGCTTGGCCTATCACTTCACCCATGCATGTGCCTTGGCAGCACTATCACCTTTAAGTTCAACTTCGCCTACAACTGGTTTTGAAGCCACTAAATGTGAGGTCACCCCTCATAACTGGGACCTCCACTTCAAGCACCTGGCCCTCCTCGCTTCAGTCCAGTCAAAATGGACCAGCGAAAGATAAGTGTATATTGTTCTTTAAAATTTCAATTTCAAATGTAATGAAAATGCTTTTTTGTTAAATAAAATCTGTTAAATTTTTGTGTTCTGTTTGTTCTTCTATCCTCTAGCCATGCCATGGTCGACACACAGCTACACGCCTGTAGATGTCTTCATGCCACCGACTGAGCTACCGGAAGCTAATGGTAACCCCCTTTCTGTGATTGTGCAGAAAAGTTGGAATCTTCATTGTATACGTATTCCATCTTTTCTGGACTTTTTGCGGAAAGGAAGCGTTACACTACAGACTACTCGGCTACACAAAACATATGCAACCATCAATACGTGTAGTTGAGTCATTCCTCCATAGATGGACGCTCACAACGATCCTAGTGAGCAAACGTGGATTGACTGTTTGCACCCTAAAAACTACCTGGTATGGCCTTAGGCCTTAGGCCTTCGTGGTAGTTGGAGTATAAAAAAAACACATTTTATACTTTTTTTTGACGTTTAATAGGTTTTTTACATATTACCCCGCGCGGTTGAGATTTTGTAGAACTTTCACACAAGGTTGCTACTATACCAAAGTTGAAAAAGCTTGGTATTTTTTGAAAATCGGCGGAACTATGGGCAACAGACGAAAAAGATAAAAAATCTCCAAAGTCCGTTTTCTGACGTTTTAGAGGGCCCAAATCTGTCTCGGAAAAATGTTTGTATGGGTAATCGAGAAAATTAGGGGGTGGGGGAGAGTGTGTCTCAATCTTTTGCCATTAGTACATTTATTCGTTTCCAATCTCAGTATTTTAACGTTCCTATTAATACGTATTTCACGCATCATAGATTTCCTAAACATTTGCCCTTAAAACCTGTCACACGATTCTCTCGGGATTGATCGTCATCATAGTCTCCCCCATGAATGTTGTTCTGTTACTGTCATCCTGCCAAGTCTAACGAGTGAATTCACTTAGCGGGAAAGTATGGGGTGGTGCGACGTTCACAGATAGACGGTTCTACCGGTAGGGCAGTGTAAAGATGTCTATGGGCTAATTGTATGGCCTTTTTGAATAACTAGATCGATTTAGTTTCTCGGCATGTTTGATTAACTAGCAAACTTTTTTCTCAGAAGGCCTAATTTGTGCCGAGTCAGCCTATTTGACGCCATTTCGTTTGCTGTTCAATAATAATAATAACAGGGCTTTATTCACACAGTACAAAGTAGCACAGGTAAAAAGGCGAAGTGTCAGCATAGCTGTTCTTTAACTTAATCCAGGTAAAGAACAACAAAATTAAACATTTGCACAAGTACTCGCCATAATCTACAAAAAAAAAACAAACTATACAAAAAACTATATAAATAATAGTAATCTAATGATTTTTCATAAATTTGAATGAGAAATATTTCACGAAAAAAGAAGTAAATAAGTATTACAAAGCATGATAAACCATGTCATAAACCTAATTCATAGCCAGGGACTAAGTAACTACGACATCAACTAACTGTTCAGCAAGTACTTCAATCTTTTTTGAAGCTGATAAGTGACAGGTCTTTAAGATCATCTTGCAGGGAGTTGTACAACTTAGAGGCGCTAAAGGAAAAGCTTCTGGCAAAGATTGCCGTGGTGTGACGAGGAATAAGTAGGGTGTGCCTACATCGCTGTTGGCTGCGATTCGAAAGCGGGCGTAGCTTGTTCAACAAATATCAGGGGCCTTGTTAACAATGACCTTGTGAACAAGTGTCGCTAGGTGCAGTTTTCTCAAGTCATCTAATTTCAACCATCTACACTCTTTAAACTTGGGACTGATATGGTCGAATTTTCGAACACCAAACGCGAATCTCATACAAGAGTTCTGTACACGCGGGAGACGAGCTGAATCAACCACTTTGAGTGCCGGACCATACACAGAGTCACAGTATGACAATCTAGATATTATCAAGGACTCGCAAAGTTTAAGTTTAGTATCCAAAGGAAGCAAGTGACGACTAGGGAAAAGTTGTTTCAAATAAGCATATGATAGTTGACATAAGTGACATGCGAAGTAAATCTTAATCCGTTATCAATCCCCAATCCTAGGTTTCTGGCTTCATTTGCAACACATATCTGTTCGCCTTCTATTCTAATATTAATACAGTCTTTAGCTAAATTTCTCTTTTCCTTGATGCCAAAAAACATGACAATCGATTTTTTGGGATTGAGTTTCAAATTGTATGCAGCAGAGATTTCATATAAGGCATTTAAATCACTATTTATTCTATTTTCAGCATCAAAACAAGTATTGGAAAACTTATATAGATCTGGGTGTCATCCGCATAATGATGGATAGAACAAAAATTGACGATCTTACAAAAATCAGATATGTATATAGCAAAAAGAAGGGGTCCTAAAATGGAGCCCTGTGGGTCTCCATAGTTTTTAGGAAGGGACTTTGAATACTGACCGTCAACTAGTACACTTTGCAAGCGGTCTGATAAATACGATTTAATGAAGTCAGCAGCGGGGCTTGAAAATCCATAATACCTTAACTTCTCGTATAATATATTATTGCCCATCGTATCAAATGGTTTACTGTAATCAAGCATAGTGAGACAAACTACTTTTCCTCCATCAATATTTTCATAGATGTCATTGGTAATCGATAAGAGAGCAGTTGTAGTGCTATGCTGAGTTCGAAAGCCAGATTGAGCAGAGGTAAGTATGCCATGCTCGGCAACGAATAAGGAGATCTGTTCTTGCATTGCCCTTTCAAGAAGCGTAGTGACTAAAATGCTAATTGGTCGAATCTCACTAAACAACAACAATTGTGAAACTAAAAGTATGCGATGTGTTTTGATGGACATACTTTTCTAAAAGCTTTTTCTGTGCATCTGTTCTATCAATGACGTTTACCTCAACAAAGCTTCTATTAATAGCATCAACATCAGACAATTGAACAGGTAATTCAGGTGTGTCTTTTTTCCTTATTATTTCAAGTGGGCGTAATGTTTTCCATACCTGCTTTGCATTATTATTTTTTATCACGTAGTTGAGATAGCATTGTTTTTCGCGGACAATAGTCATATTGACAGTGTTTCTTAGTTCTTTATAAAGGCTCCAATCTGAGGTTTTCCGTAACTATTTAAATTTTCTATATGCAGATTGTCTCAAGGCTATCATACATTTCATATTGTAAGTCAACCAAGGTGCAGGTGGTTTAGTTACTCTAATTGTACGAACAGGAGCATAGTGATCAAAAAGTTCTAATAGAGTTGTATTGAAGAAAGATGCTATCTCATCTATGTTGTGCAAGGAGTAAGTATAATTCCAGTTAACCCGTGTTAAGTCGCTATGGAAAAATTGTAAATTGAAATTCCTGAAATCCCGGAATTGTTTGAACCTGGGGCGACAAGGGTTAGATAGAATATTCAATTAACAAATTATGGCTAAATGTTCCGAAATACCACACATATCGAACAAATCAAGGGCATGATCACCTTAGGATTGGACACTACTAGTAAATCAATCAATGTTTGACTGGTGTTAGTAATTCTTGTCGGTGTATCAACAAGCTGACTGAGTTCATATGATGCCAAAAGCTCTGTAAATAGTTCGGTAGATCGTCCCGCACTCAGAATGTTTATATTAAGATCGCCTGCAATTAATAAGAAATCCATAACTCTCGGGGATATCTGTTGGTAGCTGATATTTTACTAAACATGGAACAATCGTTGAAAATCCAGCAGCTGATGGATGGCCAAGTCAAGGTACAAGGTTCTGTGTTTTGGAAGCGTTAAGCTGCTCCAGGTCTGTCGTCAGCTCATCAGCATAGACCAGCTTGTCAGACTGAACGCTTGCGTGTAGAGTTCTGTTATAGGCATCGCTGTGGGTGGGATTGATTGTACAGGACAGGAGATGTTGCTATGTTATAAAAACAATGTTGGAGTCAAGACCGATCCCTGGATAACACCTGCGCTGCTACTGTGGGATAAAGAGGTGAAACCGCCGTGAATTACCACCAACTTGTGGATGGAGAGAAGATCAGCCACCCATCTGCAAACCTTACCTTGCGGGCTATAGGATGAAAGCTTGTAGAAAAGGGCAGCATGCCACAGTTGATCGAAATTTTCTTTCATGTCAAAAGCAACCACATGAGTCTCACAATGTGACTGGATAAGTTCATTCCACTGTTGTGTGACGTAAGCTAGGCCGCCTGTTGATCACTGGTACGTGAAACCATACAGCCTGTCGCTAATCAAGCTGTGATGACTCATCAATGACTTTGAATTTTAAAAAAGTCCATCTCAGAGCTAGCCTTAAAATCCCTGTTCTGCACGAAAATTTACTCCGCCAAGCAAATACGTTATATCGGTAAGATCTACATATCGCTGGGTTAGAATTACAGGGTTTTATGTTAAAATTTTGTCAAAACAAAGATAATGCAGCACAAGATGGAACGTGTACTATCAGCTCAATTAATTTCCAAAGTTCTATGTGGACGATTTATGAAGTTATTTTTCAAAATAACATAAAACTTTATCGTTATTTTGTAGCAAAGTTTTATGTACAACATAAAATGTCGTTTTACTATAAGTATCAACATTTGTGCAGTAGAATGTTCTATGTTTAACATACAACTGTGTGATAAGGTTGTGAGTTAACTTACGTTTTGCAAAGTTCTATGTCCTAACATAGAACTACGCATGCTCATGATGGCGCCATTTTATGACGAATCACTTCTCTTGTTGGTTACACAAGTTTATTTGCTTTTCGTTGTGTATCCAATTTATTAACAGTATTTAATCAATATCAGTCCATATGAGTTCTGAATCTGAAAGTGAAGACCCATTTACTGGGTATGATAGTGATAAGGATAATGAATATTTTCCATCAGAGAGCGACAGGTTGGTAGTACAAGTTATTCAAGGTTATGTTAGTGAACTAACAGCTGATATAATCATTTCAGCAATGAAAATGAGGATCCTGCTTTCGAAATTGGGGAAAAACTTGTTCCGGTATCTCAGATACCTACAACTAGGTACAATATACTCGTACATAATACCATTGGAAATATTAATAAAGATGTTTGCGGTTTACCTCCAAATAATAGTATTCTGACTGTGGTACCTGTGGATATAGAGCATTATAGAATCCAATGATATAGAAAGGGTACAGAAGGAAGCTGAGTGTGAATTTGATAAGAAGGTCCAGATACGAAGAGCTAGAAAACGAGAACGAAATCCTTCTGCATGATCACTTAATTTGCAAAAAGAAAAAATAAACAGAGGTGAGTCGTATGTATCTTCTCGAAAAAAGATAATGCCTGCTCGATCTATTAAGAACTTGAAAGACTGTAGTGTCCAGTGCCGTAACAAATGCAGAACATACATTAGTGAGGATCAACGAAAAGAAATCTTTGAAGGATACTATAAACTCACAAAAGAAGAAAAAAATTATTTTTACTAGCAAATACTTCTAAGCAGGTTCCAGAAAGAAGACGTAAGGGCAAATGTGAAGACAATTCTAAGAAGAAAGCTAGTTTTTATTTTTATTTTACTATAGATTCTAATCGAATTCAAGTATGTAGAAGTTATTTCATGGGAACATTAAGCATAAGCCAAAAAAGTATTTACACTATCTATATAAATTGTAGAAACGCAGTATACCAGAAGATGCAAAACAATTGGTAAGAGATCACATTGAGTCTGTGCCAAAAATTGATAGTCAGTATTGTCGTGCTGATACTACTCGACAATACATGGAATCAAGTCTCAATATAACAAAATTATACAAGCTTTATGTCAACTTGATGCAAGAAAAGGGAAAAACTCCAGTCAAGCAGTCTTTATACCGTCACATTTTCTGTACGGAGTATAATATTTATTTTCAGCGTCCTAAAAACGATCGCTGTGACGTATGCGAACTTGTGAAGCTAAATGAAATGGATCAAACACAGCTTGATGAACAAACAAAAATAAATTATGAAAAACATATGGTTGAGAAAAAGACATGTCGGCAGGAAAGACATTCAGACAGGGAAAGCAAGGAGAAAACAGTTCTCTGTTTCGATCTCCAGAACGTTTTGACTTGCCCAAAGGCTGAGGTCAGCAAATTTTATTATAAAAGTAAACTATCAGTGTATAACTTAACCGCACACTTATCTCTCACAAAACAAGTTTACTGTGCAGTATGGACTGTGCACTTAATTGGGAGGACAGGAAACGACATTGCAAGCGCACTTTACAAAATTCTGAGTCAGGTGGTTAAAGATCATCCCATCATGACTGAATTGATACTGTGGTATGACAGTTGCGTCCCCCAAAACAGAAACTCAATTATATCGTTTGCAATTACAAGACTGCTTTGGGAGGGCCAAACTAACTTGAAAACGGTTACAATTAAGTACTCTGTGCCTGGTCACTCTTGTGTTCAAGAGATTGATGCAACACACAGTGCTATCGAAAGAGTTCTAGATAAAACAGAGTACTATAGTCCTCTGTCACTCATCAGGATCCTTCTAAAAGTGAACGCACATAGACCTTATAAAATTATACAAATGCAACTCAAGGATTTTATGAACTTCCAAACGGTTTGTTCTCTACATCGTTATAATAGAGTACCCTTCTCTAAAGTTTCATCACTTCAATTTCGCAAATCCATACCTCACATTGTACATTACAAAATATCTCGTTCAGAGAATTCTTTTAAGTACAAAATGAAAAAATTATGGAAAATGGTCTACAAAGTAGACTAAAATTAGCAACCATTACTTCCAAAGTAGCACTTCCAGCAAATAAAGTTGAATCGTTGACTTTTACGCTAAAATGGATGCCACTGATCGATCAGAATTATTATAAAGCCGTACTGCCAGAGCAAGGTGCAAAAACTAAGAAAAAGAAGGCTAACAAAAACAGGAACTAACTACAATATGTTACCTTTACGTTTCTATAATATGAGCTGTGATTTTGAACATACTTAAACTGGTTTATTTTATGTTTTGGTTTATTTTTATTAGGAGATTTTATGTTTTATTTAACAGCTTATATTGTATCAAAGTTCTATGTTAATAAATATAACCATTTTCATACTCACAAGGTTCTATGTTTACTTTCACTGAAGTTTTTCTTAATTAAAACCAGCAATAACAAGTCTTTGTAGCAGACTATCATGCCTCGTTAATACTAATGTGATGTGGAGATACTTGAAAATTCAAAGAATTTATTGTAAGCGTAATTACAGGACACTGAATTTTCAAACGCGTTTTTCTCGAATAAGTGCTTTTGTAACATAGAACCCTATAATTCTCACCAAGCGATATACTAAGTGACATATAAATCCGAACACCCAGTTTAAATGGTTTTATTTTAATAAAATTTCGTATAAGTACTTAATGAAGCATAATAAGTAAATGATAAAAATTTCAAAATGATTGCACTGCTTTAAAGCCCTTTGACCTTTAATAATGTGTGGATGCACCCTGATGTGCTACGCATTCTCCAATGTGCCTAGGCATGCTTCTGATCAAGTGGTCAATAATGTCCTACTGTGGTATCTCATTCCAGGCACCCACCAACTCCTCTCGAAGTGCTTCTAGAGTCTGAGGAGGACGTTGCAAATTGAGCAATCTCCTACCCATCATATCCCACACGAGCTCAATTGGGGATAAGTCGGGAGATCTTGGTGGCCATGGTAACAATGTGACATCATTATGTTGAAAGAAGTCTATTGTGACTCTTGCAGCATGTGGTCGGGCATTATCTTGTTGGAAAGTTGGATCTCCCAGGGTGTCAAGATAGGGTAAAAGATGGGGTTCTAGAACTTCGTGGTTATAACGCTGCGCGTTATTGTTACCTCTGATGAAGATTAAAGGTGACCTGGAACCATAAGCTATAGCACCCCAAACCATAAGTCCAACAGTGTGATGAACATGTCTTTCAACAAAAAAACTGTGGATTCCTCCTTTCACCACGTCGCCTTCTAACCCTGGCACAACCATCGTGCATGCCTAAGCAAAATCGAGACTCGTCACTAAAGACAATACTGTTCCATTCCTGATCCCAGAGTGACCGTTGTCTGCACCACTCAAGGCGATTACGTCGGTGTTCTCGAGTTAAAGGGAGGACCCAGTGTGGCCGGTATGAAAACAAGCCAAAACTTCTCATTCGTCGGTAAACACTTCGCATGCCAATAGGTCTTCCGTGTTCTGCAAACCATTCATTTGCAATGGACCTGGTAGTGGAGAAACGGTCCCTTAAGGCCAATAATCTTAGACGGCGATCTTCACGGTCTGTTGTTCTACGGCGGCGTCCAGTGCCCCTTGCTCTTTGCGTACGGCCTTCTCGAAGACATGCCTGACAACACCTAACCACAGTGTCTACACTTCTTTGCACTCTAACTGCAATTGCCCGAAAAGAAAGTCCAGCTTCCCGAAGTCCCACTATACGGCCCCTATCAAACTCACTAAGTGGACGAAATCGTACAGGTCTCCGTACTCTAGGCATCGTAACCGATCGTAAAGGATGTCAAGAACCAAAATCCGCCAACGTTGATTCTTTACTGCGGCTGAAATATTCATTTTTAGAGCGTTAGTGAATTAAAAAAAAGCGGTATAAAAACCGGAATGTCCAACTGATAAGGCTGAAAAATTTTTCACTTTTTATTTACAGTAAGGTAAATACATTCACCAACTTTTATTAAAATAAAACCATTTAAACTGGGTGTTCGGATTTATATGTCACTTAGTATATTTAACCCTTAGACCGACCTTTAAATTGCCGAATAAGGCAACAGAGTCCAGAAGGTACCAACAACATGCTTTAAGCAGGCTTAAGAGTGTACCTGTGCGATATTTATCTTTCTGTAGCATAATGGGGTACGACGTTGCCAAGTCCACGTTTTCTCTTAGTCTATGGAAAGTATGCACAATCTGGCAACACCGCATGGGGGTATACGGGAATGTCCCTCATCTACGAAGTCTCATCCCCTAGGGCTTCAAATAAAGGAGATACCCTTTGAACCCCATGTAATTCCAGATTTCACCGTACCCTGTAGTTGTCGGACAGTTATTGAATGGCCCCTGTACACAAAAATCGTTTCCGATCTCTTGATTTCCACTGTTTCTAGCAAATACCAGATGTTCAAAATGGGTATATAGGCAGCCCAGCCGCTTGTCAGAGAGGATCAGCATTACAGTATTCAGCAGTGGATATATGAGTGAAGCAATGCCGGTGCGATCCTGTGTATATCTCTTCAGCCAGTAGACCCGTACCTCATGACTCTTCTAGCATACCTGCTTCTAAGTCTGCAACGGAATATGATGAACCAGATAATTCTGACACAGGAGAGCCAGAACCCGGGCTAATTTTTGAAGAAGAAGTTATTTTCGAATGTAGTATCAGCCAAATTTTATATCTCAGGAACAACTCAATGATATAGTTCGTGATTTAGGTCTTCCCAAAAGAAAAGCACAACTACTTGGATCTCGTCCTTTAACAAACAGATGTGCAAATTTCCACGTTTCAGAACAGGCAGTCTATGCTGGCCGTATTTTTTTCGATGGAAAATGACTCAGTTTACTGTCATGATATTCCAGGTTTACTGAATGAACTTGGCATTTCCTATGTACATACCGAGTGGCGACTATTTATTGACTTTTCGGACAGTATATATATTCTAAAGGCAGTTTTGTTGTCAATGGAAACGAACGGCCATCAGTTCCCATTGGTCATGCTGTAAATATGAAAGAAACATACCAGAACATGCGCTTATTACTCCAAAGCATAACATACGTAGATCATAAGTGGAATATCTGTGCTGACTTAAAAGTTATTGCATTGCTCACAGGACTGCAGAGTGGCTTCACAAAATATTGTTATTTTTTATGTGAGAGGGGCAGAAACCAACATTATTAGAAGCAAGCGTAAAATTCTAAAGTTTTTTTTTATTCCAGCGTTTCCTTGTTTATATAATCATTCATTATTCAAGAAAAGACGTCACTGACAAAAGTTGGGCAGATATAGCATCAAAAATGAACTGGACAGGTAAGTAATCCAATATATTATTTTAATTTTATATACGAAAAGTTATACACAAGGCCATAGAAGAGAACTACTGGATTTCAAAAAGTAATTTGCCAAAAAGGCCCGAAGTTGGTTTGGTGGTGAACTTCTGTCAACGCGAAGATCTTCATTATATACTGGACAATTTGTAGGTTGCCAGCAGCGTTGTCACGGTCTTCAGTTGGATTGAATTCGTAATCAACTCCTTCATGATTTCGGATAAAATTGCGAAGTACGCAGACACGTTTGATAGTAGTATATTGTTGATAGTTTCATAACTTTTGCATCTAACAGGCGTCATCAATAGTTGAAATTTCTGGGTTATCATTCCAAAAGCACACTCTACGTTTTTCCTTCCACGACTGAGTCTGTAGTTGAATATTGTTTTTGTGTTACATATATTACGTAGTGGATATGGTCTTAATATATTTCTTTTCAACGGAAATGCATTATCCGCTACAAAGTAATAAGGAGAAGTAGAACCATTATTATCGAGAGGTAAAGCACAGTCTTCAAGAATAGTATTATTATTTTGCATCCACTGCCCCATGCTTCCTGCCTGGAATATTCCACCATCACTATTACGACCAGGGTATCCAGTTTCTATGAATGTGAAGTAGCCATCTGCATCTGCACACCCCATTAAAACAATGACTGATATCCTTTGTAATTATAATTTAAGGACCCAGAATTTGGGTATTGCTGAATACGTATGTGCTTGCCGTCGATAGCACCAAGACAATGAGGTAGTTGCTATAATTCGAGATGTCGATTGGCGACTTCCTTCCATTTCTCAATTGTAGATACGCTCATATATACACTTTTATTATTATTTATCCCACATAATTTGCGTAGTTTCAGTTACTATTTGAGAAACTGTTGTATCGCCTCGAGCAAAATATAAACCCAAAGATGAAAAAGTGTCACCAGTTGCCAGATACCTGAAACAATGGAAAAATATGTTTAATAATATAAACTTTACAGCCGAATTTTCGCAATACAAAGCACTATCTTCTGAACCTATGTTCCTTATATCCAACCTAGCCTACTGAATTATACTTTTCTTTAGTTACGGAATGCAAGGAAAAGTGGCGCAATGTGAGAAACGGCTTCGTTAAAAGTCTGAAAGTGCTACCTAGTGGCTCAGCAACGAAATCCAGGAAGCCGTGTTACTTACATGATGAGATGCAATTTGTGATTCAATTTGTTAGACCAACCAACATTGAGAAAGAACCTGTAAATATTCTTCCATGCTATAGTTCTCAATCTACTGCCAATAGCCCTAACGAATTGGATACTCGGAGTACGCTAATAAACGATGTGGAAACTCAACATTCACCAACAAATGAAGAACTTTTAGATGCAACGCAGCCGCCTAAAAAGAAAGCCAGACCTTCCATTAATGCTGTCAACAGCACCTTTATGCAGTATATGACAGCGAAAAAGAAAGATATTGAGAAATCTATGCAAAGGGCTAACAAAGAAAACCCTAGCAGAATGTTTTTGTTGAGTTTACTTCCAGACATCGAGAACTTGAATAGTGATATGAGATTGATGAAAATTGAAATGATGACGCTCATCCAAAAACATCACACAGCTGAGCGAAACCAACAATCACCAACTGCCACATATGCTCAAGTTCAAGCCCGAAGTAGCTCAGACATTTACTAGCAACCATGTCAACAACCATACACTC